GAAATGTTGTGACCCATGGAATTGTGTTACCCTGTCGCGAGAGAAGAAGTTTTGTCCCACTTGCCCGTGGAATTTTGTTGCCCTCTCGCAGGGGGATTTTGTTTAGCCTCTTTCGAAGGGATGTGGTTACCTGCTTGTTCGGGGTGGGTTTGGTTACCCTCTTTTTGTTGAGTTGTTTCACCACTTTTGTTTGGGGATCTTGTTTCCCTCTTCCAGAAAAACCTTCCGGGACGGTTTTCCATGGAGAGAATGCGGTTGACGGCCCATGAATTTTTCTGCGAAGGAAGCGCGGAGCCAATTAATAGGCTGGCTCAGGCTCCGGGCCAAGCCACCGTAGCGAGCGCCTGCTTGCCTTTTACCATGTTGCTCTTTTAGTGTAAGTGAACTTGGGGATTGCTGAACATGGCATTCAGACCAGAACGCGCGAAACTAAAGGGCAGTTGCTTCAATCGAACATGTTCAGCGCAAAAGCTTTCACCGCAACAAAGGGCCAAAACATGGTTTCGAGCCTAACCGCTCTTTCTATTGGGAGCACTTTTCGGCTCGAAGCATTTTCGGAGGCCCTGGGGCTCGCTCAATTGCAAGTGATGTTGCTGCTTTCTTTGCCTGAATTTATTTTTGGAATTCAATAATGACGTTAGACGTCCGTCGATCTACTATTTCGAGCACTTCTCGGCTCGAAACTTCCCGTGTTTGGGCGGCGTACCTTTTTTGAGCCTTGCGGCTCGCTTACAAGCGGCTTTGCTGGTGATGCCGGTGATGTTGCTGCTATATCCGATTCCCTGTCTATGTGGGATTCGAAAGTGACTTTAGACAGCTGCCGCGCTACTATTTGGAGCGCTTTTCGGCGCATGTTCGGGCAGGTTTCGAGCTGAAAAGTGCTCCGGTTTCCAACGAGACGTGACTTTTGTTTGCATCCTACATAGAAATGCAATCAGTTAAAGCAGCAACATCACCGTCACCACCAGCACAGCCGCTTTGTAAGCGAGCCGCAAGGCCTCGAAAAACGGCATGTTTGAAGGGGGCCCAAACGGGCGGAAAGTACTCCAAGTTGTGGCCCGACGGGTGTCCAAGTGTCTAACGTCACTTTTGGATCTCATATAGACAGGAACTCGGATCCAGAAACGGAGATCTAGTTTTCGAGACGGCCGCTTGTAAGGTCTACAAGAGCTTGGACGCACTTGGCGGGTATGGAATTTTCCAAGCTTCTCCCATGAAATTTCTCCCGTTGGGCAGGTCCATTGGAGTTCTCCTGCTGAAACTTTCCATCTTTCTTTCATTGGAATTCCCCGTTGGGCCTTTCCATTTCTCATTAGAATTTTGCCGTTCCTTTGGAATTGTCCGCTTGAAGCTTTGCTGTGGAATTCTCACTCTCACATTCAAATTTCCGTTTCTTTTCTTTGGGACTCTTTCATAGGAATACAATTCTGCTGCTGGAATTTACCAATATCTCCCCTATTCCAAGTTGGGTTGGGTGGGTTTCTTTGGAAAATTCTAGGTCAACTTTTTTAGACTGGGCGCTGGGGATGGGAATCAGTTTTTGTGAGGATTTTTCTCCATTTCGAATTTTCCGATTTTCTCCTCTCCAAGTTTTCCTACTTTCTGCAACGGGAGTTCTCCCGTTGGACTTTTGCCAGGGTTTCCCTTTGCTCCTGCTTTCCAGAATGTTGCCAGTGATGCTGCTGATGCTGGCGATGTTGCGGATGCAAAAGCGGACCAGATTGAACACCCCAAAGCTTTAACGCAGCCACCCCCGAACGTGTGAAATAATTTAGCCTACGAAAAGGGAACGTCTTAAGTAGAGTTCCCCCCCTGCAAAGTCCGGAGTTGTGGCGGGGGAGTGTAAGGGGTGATAGGTATTGGAGATTCAGCAAGCTGGCCGGCTGTCAAACCAAAGGCCGCGCTTGCTCAGACCCAGCACGGTGGCTCACCAAGCCAGTTGGACGCTTGAAGCAGTTGGCGGACAGGATTCTGTCCTTGCTGGATTTTTGCACTCATGTCAGCTGAAGCAGGCCTTGTGTGGGTTCAACGCTTCCTGGCAAACTGGGCTCAGAGCCCGCAAAATGATTTTACTGGTTTCTTACAGCCTGGGCTCAAAACAGCTGATTAACATAGAGGTTCCACCAGGGATGGAAAATCTTCCCAATTTCCAACCCCCTGTTTCGTACCCAGATTGTCCAACATGGGCGCTCGATTGCTGAAGAAGAGCGGTGATATTCAGAAGGCGTCCAATATCCTCAGCTATTTCACGCTGTCCCTTCCCCAATACTTAAACAAATAGCAGGAACAACAGACCATATGACAGGATTTTGCCACCAAATTCCTGATGCAGTTATTGTGCGGTGGGACGTTTCTTGGTCTTCCAGTCACGCACTTCTCTTGTCAGTTGGCGCTTGCGGTGAGCCTAGTGACGGCTGCCTGGCTAGTGGAGGCTCGGACCGTCAGAGTGAGCCTGTGACTTACGCGAAGGAATCACAAAAGTACCCACTTGTCAACACGTTTGTGGAAACTTTGGTTTTAGGTTGCTTGTTTCCGCGATACCCTGCGCGGACCCTCTTTACATGTCACGGAGTCGGAGCCCCAGGTTGTTGCAGAAATCGTTTTTTTTTCATTTCCGTCCTTCTCAAGAACGGTCTTGTTCCCCAAAGCAATTTCACAGTCAATTTGCCAGGGAGTGCAGTTTTCCTTCACCTCGCAGTGCCCGGCTGCGAGCGAAGCAGCACTTTTGGCTTGCTATTCCACATTTGCTGACATGGTTTGGTTTTGACGTGTAAATTCAATTTCGATGGCAAGAAACACCTATCTGGTCTTGTAGGAGACAATCTCGCTTGTGGCTCTGGCAAACTGGGTGTAGCTGAATACTTCTTGACAGGAATAAGTATCCCTTTCAGTGCAGGGCAACATGTAGCGTTCCATTCCCTACCGGCTGCTTCCAACAAGAGGAAAATCGACAGGACCTACGAAGGCTTTGTGATTTGGCCGGACCCCAAGCACGCTGGGGACATAGCGCTGAAGGCCGATATCAAGCTTGGCGGCTTCAAGAAGACACCAGCGAGGAGTGACCTTGGGGGCGAAAGGCTCGCTGCATGGATCCAAGAGGGCGTGGAGGCACGCAGAGCATGTGGCCAGCTACTTGGTTGGCGCAGAGTTCTACAGGCTGCTCACCAAGAGCAGCAAATGCGAGAAGCGTGCTGAGAGAAATAAATGCAGGATGTGGAGGTGAAGAAAGTCCACTTGCTGGAGGTTGTCACTGACAGCGATTACGCTGGGATCAGAATTCAAGGAAGACAGCACGAGCTTTCAGGCGATCCTTGAGAGCAGGGTGAGAAGCCAGAAAAGCAGCTCACTTTCCAGCGGATGTGATTACGGTCCAGTGAGGGGCTTTTTCTTCGGCACGTGTGGTCCTTCATCAGAGGCCGCACTATCCCTGGCGTGCAGGTCTGACAGCAGTGGGATTGGCACCTGGACGCGGTCATGACGTGGCCGCAGCAGAAGTGCCACGAGAAGGTGAAATCCCGACAACCACCACAGCGCAGACATGTTCATGATGGGTATAGTCGATGAGGACACCCGCGAGATCGGGACAAGTTCCACGACATCGAGCGCAAGATGCTGAGCGACAAAGGTGCCAAGAAAATTCTAGGCGGCTTGAAGGATGAGTGTCGCATGGCTCTGGTGGTGGCTTTTGTCAACATGGCTGCGAAATGGAGCCAAGGTGGAAGAGCAGAGCGAGCCCAATGAGCGGAAGGCGGAGATTGGATTTGGATGATGCTAGACAGCGAGCCAGAGGTGAGTGCCATGAAGCCGGGGAAGGCCCAGGCATAGGAGCAAAGCAGTCCGGAAAACCCCAGCCAGGACTGTGTACCATACACATGAGCGCTGCCCGCGCTACAACAGTGCAAGGCAGCACACCAAATGCAGGCAGCGTGTCAGAATGATTCTCGATTTCAGTGACACCCACAGCGCAGTACTCTAATTTCCAAGGGGTCAAAACAGTCCGCTGCCGCTCGACACGGGTGCAAAAAAAACTACGAGAACCTTGCTTGCTTGTGTGTTACTAGTTCAAGACATTGACTTGGTATTGCATCAAACCCATCAGTGTGTGTGCCGCACTTGCATGACAGTGTGAAACCGCTCAATCGCCATCATCAGCAGATGCCAGAAAGTGTGTGTGTGTCAAAACCAGGCCCGGCCCTTCTCAGTGGACCAACTGCCTGACACACGGTGTTTAGACAACAGCGGAGCCCCAAACAACCACGCTATTGGTTTGCGTGGGGTTTTTATCACCAGCATTTACAAGAGTTCCAATTTCAACACGTCCTGTTTTGACGACACCTCGTACAACCTGGCTCAGCTTTGGCCAGGGGCAGAACGAGGTTCTGAGCCACCCGCGCCGCCGCCACGTTCACCAAGAGCTTGAGGTATGGGCTTGGGTCTGGGGCCTAGCTGCGAGAGCCCACATGTCGGGCGGTTGGCGGCGAGAGGTTGCGAGTGGTTGCGAGAGGTTGAGAGACCGTTCTCTTGACAAGTCGCCTTTGATGAGATTGCTTCGCCCCACCCGACCGACCGAAAAAGAAAGCGTTACGCAAGGAAGCGTTGGGGTTCACCGTGTCACGCCATGATCATCCATGGCGGAGCGACAAAACACGGGTGATTTAGGGTGGTACTCTTGTTTCTTCCACTACATTCCCATAACGCGAAGCGTCAGCGGAAGGCTTATTCTTCATGATTGCTGATTCATGACGTCTTTTGCGAATGTCCATTTTTATCCCCAACACCCAAGACCAAACAAGCCGGTACTTTACAGGCTGCCACCAGCAAGCATGTCTACGCCACCTCCAGCTCTCGCTCGAGATGCTTGATCTGCTTGACAGCGTGCGCAGCCCATCTATGCGACCTCCAACTACATATCGTTGATTCAAACGGAAAGCTGCTGCTGCCAAAGGGAGACCATTCATCAACTTACCTCTTTTTCTCCCTCCCCCCAGCTGCCGCGCCCCTGCGTCGCCCGGGGCTCAACACGCCAAAGTGGCAATTCCTGGTTTCATAAGGCTTCTGCTGTGCTGCAACTCTTTACCATGTTGACGGTGTGTGGCGGGTGTTGGTTTTATTTAGTAAGCCCCTTGCTAACCTCATTTAAACTCATTCAGGGCACTCTGGCTGTACCCAATCTCGTTTTGCAATTTGTCCGGGGCAACGCATATTGAAACAATTGTTTGCCAAACTCCGGCAGGGCTCCGGTACAAGTGTGCAGCTGTCCAGGACTCGCAGGCGGTGCGCCTGTTCAGCCAAGTTTTGAACCAGAGGCGCGGTTTTTGACCTGGCCATGGTATTAACCAGTTACTCAGTACTCCCGACGCGACGGCAAAGCCATTAACAGACACTGCAAGTGGTGGTGTTTTTGTAGCTGATTTCTGCTTCTCTTGCCCTCATGTGGCACATATTGACCAAAACTGGCCGCAACTGGCAAATCTGCCACAAGGGCCCCAAAAAGATGGCTTCCACAGCTCGCCCGAAGCAAGCCGACATTCTGACTTTTCAATGTTTCACAGTGTTTGGTCCATCTACCAGTTTCAAAATCAGGCAGAGATGGCAGACTGTGCTGTTTGCTTTGGGGACCCCGCGTCCAGGGCGTGGTCGGCCACATGGCTGCTGTGCATCCTGGTGCATTACATTTGCATGGTTATCCGGCGCCTGGGCTGCCACAATGGAATGGACCCTGTCATCTGGACCAAGCGTGCGGAGGTGTGGGCCACTCAAACCCAGATAGATCTGGAAGCAAAAATGCCAGTCGAGTGATACCACCCATTCAACCAATCGCACGAGCACATAAAAAGAGGGGAAAGCCATACGACTTCGTTAGATAGGAGTGATATTGTCATGTACGGCCACACTGCAGCTGCTTCAACGTGTTCTGGAGGCAAGCAATCATGCCCAACCGTTTTGATGTGCTACGCCGCCTGTTCTTAGTTTGATGTTGGGCCATTGTTCGAAGGGCAAGGATGATGCTAGGGGCGTAAGATCGTAAAGCGAAGCAACCGAACTCAAGACGATTGAGGCTGCTACACGAATTCATTAACGAAATTGGCGTTGGACTAGGCGTTCTGGGCGGGGCATTTGCGATGGTCTGTTTTGTGTTTGGACAGCTTTCGTTAAATGCCTAGCTCAGCAAGGCCAGAGATCGCGAGAGCCGCAATTTGGCAGGTTGCCCTCAGCTTGGCGTTTGCGTAGGCTAGGCTCGGAGCCTGAGGCTGGCAGCCGAGCTGAAGCCGCAGTTTGCCTGCGCGGCAAAACGTGCGCAAGGTCGTAGTCAATCAGAGCCGCATAGGCTCTGAGGATGATGTCTAGGCGACGCGTAGACTTTGCACTGGCAGCCAAGCAACGCAAAGAAAGGAACGCGGAAAAAGCAAAACACACACACACACACACATCTTATTTGGGTGACTCCGGTGACTCCTGAAATTGCCATGATGAGAGTGCCCGAACACGCTACCATGTGTTTGGACCCCCCCCTCAAAAAACACTTCTGAAGAAACACAGCATGTAGCCATCAAGAGAGCTAGGCCTACATGTTGCTCCCTGACGCGGACCGCGCATTTGTGTTGACTTCATTGCTGCACCATGGTCAAAAGAGTTGGGCAGAGCCATAGGCATAGCCATGCCTTTGGCAACATGTGGATGCGTTTAGTGCCACACATGAAACCTAATCACTGTGGCTTCTAATTGTAGAAGCCCATGCTCCAATGATCACGATTCCCCCGATGATAAATCTGTTTTCCCAACCCCAAACCTCCCTAACGCAATACTAGAGTTTAGTGTCGAAACCAATACTGAGCCAACGTTGGTGTTTTTACGTGGGCTTTTTGCAGAGAGAGGACCGACGAGTGCCGAAGAGGACCCCTATCTCCCCCCCTATGAAAACATTCGAGGGCTAGTGTGGCTTGTATCATGAATGATCTACGTGTTTGTTTATCTTTTATTGTCTTGATTTTTTGCTTTCCTGCGTGGAGTGTCGAGGTAAATGGGGTGCTCCAACAGGTACCTGGTGTAGGGTCTGTGGAGCCTACATGAGGATAGGGGTCCTTCTACAGCGGCAAGAGCTCGCAGGCAGAACCAGGAGCCGGAGCAGAGCCAAAGATTATAGGCGAGGTGCGATTGGGCTGGAGCCAATCCAAAGTGGTTCGCGAAGAACAAGGGCGTGACGAAGCGGATCAAGCAGACGGACATTTGGCAGAGGCATCCGCCCCGGGCAGGAGCAACGCAAAGGCAAAGGCAAAAACCAGTGCGAGGTCCGGAAGTTTTTGAAAGGGCCCGGCACGGCTGGAGTAGGCCTGCTGCGGTGGCGCTAGTTGAGGAACCTCAAGAAGATCCTGGTGACGAGAGCAGCCGAAACTTTCTCCCATCATGACCATGGTTGTTTGGAGACGTTGCGTGCTCAAATCCACAATCTCAGCAGGAGTCTCACTCCACGCGACTACACACATCATCAGCGGCTTCACGCCAGCGCCCGCCCGACGGAAGGAAATTGCCTTGCAGGTAGTCATCTCTGCAAGGTTACGATCCTGAACCAAAGGGCAGTTGCAAGGGCAGTGGTTTGACGCAAGCCTGGCGGGCCGTTAGCTCTTTTGCTGTTTCGACTCAAGAACTCACATCTAGCTACGGACAGCAAAATTCCGCTGTTCTCATTGACCGGGGTTTGACCAAAGGAGGCGTCGTTCCCGCTGCAACGGAAGCTGCTGCACGAGCCTCACGGTTAGAGTTCTTACCACTGACGCGTTCTACCTTGATGGCGCGATGAAGAGAGCGAAGTTGAGTGTTCATATAGATATGTATCACCCTGCATCATGTTGACATCTGTATATATATATATATGCATAGGAAAATGTTTATGACATTTAAATAAGTCTATTATATTTGCGCGATTCACGACCTTGTTTGACTGAAGTGACCTTCTGTTTGGGCAGAGCCCAAAATGCAGCCTCGTGCCTTGCGCGGCTCAGGTGGTGCAGCTGCTGGAAGACCAACAACGTGATTGCCGCTCGGATAGCGGCATGGAAACGGATGCTGGTCTTGAAAAGCATGTGAAGAAAACCACCAAATGGGATGAAGAACCCTTACATGGTATTCTACTTCTCCGCACACCGGCCTCGCATGTCTGCTGCGCGAGATGGATGGATGGCGATGGATGGTGGATGGATGCATAAACTGTTTGCGTGGAGGATGGATGGGGGAGGTGGATGGATGGATGGCTGGATGAATGGATGGTCATGCCGCCGACCAGCTCCGCTGTGTCCGCCGCAATTTGGGACGAAGGATTTGCGGAATTGTCTACTCGGTTTTTGACGATTTTAGACGCACTTTTTGGACAGCATCTCCTGCATCACCTGCATCGTCCGCATCCAAGCCATTGATGCAGATGATGCAGGTAAATATAGAACTGAAAAACAATGACTGAAAATGATGGAATGAATGTAAAATGGACGGGAGATGGCTGGAAATAGAAATGCAAAATGGATGCACAACGGATTGCGAATTGATCGAGGATGGATGGAACATTGATGGAATGAAGGAAGGATGTAGCATGTGTGAAACGGGATGGAGTTGGTGGAAAACGGATGGAAGATGTGTGGTAAAATAGATGGAGCATGATTCCGGCAACGTCGGATGCAGCCGGGCGGCTGCATATTTGCAGCTTTGAGCCTTCCCCAACTTGCGCTTTCTGGGCGACTTAGCACGGCGAGGCCATACGCGCACGCCACCCACCGACCCACCCGCCAGTCCCTGCATGTCCTCACTTGCGTACAATGTCCATCCATGCATCCAACTCCATCCATGTTCCATTCATGTTCCATCAATGTCCCACGCGGTTTGCATCCCCCTGCGTCGCCGGCGTTTGGGGCTAGTCCTGAGCGCGTGCATGCGTGCGTGCGTGCGCATGCGTTGCAACCACTGCAGAACCACTTCAAAACCACCAGGACCGCTTCAAAACCATATCGAGACTGATGGTGCGGTTGATCCTGCCGCTTGTTTTACCAACTGTCCTGGTCCTTCGTGAGAATGGGAAGCAGCGGAGTCGGCGGATTTGTCTCCCAATCGAAGGGAAACGGGTCGAGAAGCCTTTGAGGGGTTGCAGGTGGACAAAGATTTTACGCGCCTGTCCAACACATCTGGAAAGGGGCAGCCGGCTTCCCCAAAAATAAAGTAGTCTTCCAAAATTTCCTGCAGCCAGCCGCAGTCAGCCTCCAGTTGTCGGAGGTTTCCCTTTCAATGGCCCCTGAGCATCGCCGGTTGGAAGTGAGGGAGGGTCGTGTTTCAAGGTCAAAGCACCCCATTTTTCAAGCCGCGGATGAGTGATGGTGGGTTTTGGACGTCTACAAACTCAAAGTCTCAGGTGCCTGAGTGCCTGCTCCCATTTCCTGTGAGGGAGTTTGACACTTTTATTGATTTTTCTTAAAGGGGACAGACTGGCTGACTGTGAACCCACACAAGTCTTGCGCATGGCCTGCAGAAACTTGACCGGATGTCCAGATACCCGCGATGAAATTTCCCCATGCGCTGGTCGGAACGCAGCTCCGGAAAGCAAATGTTACTGCTTGTCATTGTAGTCAGCTTCAATTCTTTGTGCCACGGCTACACGGATGTTTCTCCTTTCGGGTGTGACCGTTTTGCCTTGTCAACTGCCTTTTGCCCGATCAGGAGGGACTGTCACCTGTCTACAATGTTTGCTTGTCTGGTTCTGCATGTTCGAAACATCCCGCCCCGGCAAGCAAGACCTCAAGAATCCTCCAGTCAACCCTTTGCGCAAAACTAGAATGCGAGTACTTTCCACAAATCCCCCATCATTCGAGTCATGATTTTTCATCGGAAAGGGTTCCAGACCTGAGGGCGCATGCGACAACATCGGCCTTCTCATTCACTCACATACGTTCAACCTGGTGTTCTCGGCTTGCTGTGCTTTGTCCAGGTTTGCATCACGGCTGCTGTTTAGGGTCTAGATCAACTTGTCTGGCCGAAGTGTAGCAAGATCAACCATTGATGACACGCGTGCCTTGATGCTAAGACCACTTTGACACCGCAAAACGCTCGCAAATTTGACTTGGGCACTTCCCAACAAGCTTTGCTGGAGTTGATTTGGCCACGGCTTGCCCTCAGGTGCCTTTGCTTCAGCATCACCCAGTGGAGCTGCCATCCTCTGCGCCATAGCCGCACGGAACAGTTTGCCTTTGAGAAATTATCAAGACGAGTTCATCAGAGTCAGCGGGAACCCATGAAGGTCGCCGTTGGCAGGTATGGTTGAAAACGCGATGGCTTTTGTCACTGATCATCTACCGAGCTTGTTTGTTCATCATTTGTTGCCACTGCTTGGGCTTCAAACGACCTCACAGGCTGTGAGTTCTTTAGGCCTTTGCCTTTTTTGAAAATCCTCAACATCTCAGCATTGACGTTAGGCAGGTTGTATTGTGGAATGGATGGGTTGGAGCAAAATCAGAGGCATCGTTTGAAACTGGATGCAGCAGTGAGTATTGGAGCATGATTGTACGATGCCCGGTAGGACACGCAGGCAATCCAATATTTGTCTTTTGATTTTGCTGGGATAAACCTTGATCCGGACAGATTCTACCAGGATCAGAGACGCCAAACGCCAGTGACCTGTTCCCCAAAGCGTTGTGATGCTCCGCGGCCGTTCACTTGCAACACACAGATCATTTGACATAATTCGACCGGAGCCAGTTTTGCCAGCTCCCGATTGGTTGGCTGGTTGGTTGGATTGATGGTTGGGTTGTTGGTTGCTTGGCTGCATCCTTAGCTCCAGCTTGGACGTTGGCTTGCTCTGATTACTATTTTTTGCCGTTTCCCATCTTAAAAGGGGTTGCTTAGGGGTCAAGTTAGGCTCTGGGCATAGAGCCTGCTTGTTGGCTTAGGTCCGACTTTGTGGTTTGGCTAGGCGTGCAGTTGTTTTGGGGCGTCTAATTTGGGATTGGTGCGCAAGTTGCCCCAAACCCTAAAACTAGCCTAAAACTCGCGCAAGCGCGTGGGAAAGCAATCCGAAGGTCATCGTGAGCTGATTTTGTTGGAAGCCGACCAGGTTCTGCTTTGCACGTTTCTGGACGTGTGAAGCGACGAATGCACAAAAACCTTTCCATGAGGTAAAGGGCAACGCTTTTGGTTTTCTGGATGAGTGCCGTTGGCATAGCCCTGGACTTGAGATCTGGGACACTCGCACCCTCAGCTTGAAAAGCCGATTAGGTTGGCTACCTGGTCTGCAAAATGCCCACGATCTATGAAACTTGTTTGAGGAAGCCAAGCACCTGCCAAAACCAAATATCTTCCTTGTGCAGTAACTTCCTGTAGTCTAAAAATCCAAGAAAGGTTGCCTCACAGCTATCCAAGCATGTTGGAACGCGCGTGTTGGCCTTTGCCTCATTGCTCTCACTGCCCAGGGCGCTATGTCCATCCAGCGTTCGGCGCCCGAGATACAATTCTTTGCCCCACGAAGATGTGAGCTGTCGTTGTTATCTTCAACCAACGAACACGTAGTGGTTTGTTGCTCCATGGCCACTGGTTTGGTTGTTCTTCCCTTTGCCCCCTGAATTGAACTGACCTTGCACTTGGGGCATTTTGGATGCGCCTAAGGATTTGCGATCCCTTGAGTTCACCCCCCTTTCCCTGAATTTAAGCTAATCAACCCTGCAACTAAGGAAGTTTGGCTGCGCCTACGGATTGGCCCCCCCCCCCCGGAATTTAAGCTAATTAACCCTACACACTACCTCTTTTTAGTTTTCAGACTTGTATTCTGTATGGGAGTGTGTTCAGGTATGAAGGGTTTTCCTTTTTTCTTAGTGTTGCCCTCCGCGAAAGCTGTGCGTTGGGTAATTGCCAGCAGCGCGCGCAGAATGCGCAACGTTAATCGGAGGAAAGCGCGGCCTGAGGATTGCCGCAAAGACTTGCGTCGCTGCAAGGGCAATCCCCAGCAGAAAGCAGCTTGTTGGAGTTAGCTTTTCGGCCCAGCCAAGCGCAACTTCCCAGCCAGATTTTCGGTAATGTTTGGCGAAAGATCCGCGAAGGTTCCACGAAAGTTGCTGGACCTTCCCGACGGGTGGTGGCCAACGGGCAAGTTGCCACTGTCGAGCTGGGGTTGCGGAAGTCTCTTCGTGTGCTGCTTTTGAATTGACAAGTTGGGGACTGCGGAATTGGACTGCGGAATTGGACTTCATGCGCTGCTGTCTAATGAATGTTGTGAAAACAGCCCCGCAAAAGATGCGCGATGGAGGATCACTGAGCTTGTGCAGTTTCAATCACGCACCAGAAGGTGCCAGAAGCTGAGCATCAGTTTGAAAGCACCTTAAGCTTTGTTGAGGTGGCGGGCTGAGTTGTGCACCAGGTGCTAGCAAGCGAGCGCACAAGGAGGCACGCAGGCACGCAGGCAGGCAGTTAGGCGCCAGAAGCCTAATCGCTCAGGTGGCGTGGCCATGCCGCCGATCGAGGTCATGAGTGACAAGGCAAGCCCACAAGCGAAAGGGCGAGCGAATATTTTAAGGGACTGCGGTCGTTCCGCTGCTTTAATACAGTTGGACCCTCTCAAAGTGTTTGCTGTGTCCATTATGCGTGGAAGAGTAGAGCAGTGGTGATTCGTTTGTTGCTGGCCCAGCTTCAGCCAATGCAAAGTACTCTCTGACGAGGAGAGGAAGTATTCAAGCGGGGCTCCGGTATAACCTGAAGTAAAAGCCTCGCCTTGTCTTGCGGCACGTCTGAACAGTCACGAATAATAACACTAAGCTATTGGAATACCGAAGAAGGAACAGGTAGAAAATACTTGCCTGAATCAAGACCCATGCAAAGCACCGATCCAAACCTTGGGGCCCCTGGGCATGGTGCTTGAGGCGTTGCGAAGCTGCTCCCTCGGACACACGGTAGTGTCAAGGCTACGAGTACCAACGTCTCTCCAGAGACGCGCCGTTTTTGGTTTTCGCCATTTGCGCCTGAATTTGCGCAAGCCTGTCAGGCTAGCGCAAATTCCTCCTGAAGTGACAGGAACCTGCAAAATGAGGGGCGTGTTTGGGGTCATTGTGTTTGTTAGCTGAAACGCAACGAAAGCAAGCACGTTCGTGCGCAAACAACAAAAACAGCACGTCACATCACAGCGCCTCACATCACAGCGCCTCACATTACATCACACCACATCGCACCACACGTCACGTCACGTCACATCGCAGCGCAACATCACATCACAGCAAAGCGCAACACATCACATTGCATCGCATCGCATCACAGCTCAGACCACCCATCACACCATTTCGCATCACAAGAGTAGGCCTGGTCAAACCCTGTTCATTTGCAAGGCTGCAGTTTTATTTTTCCCGCCTGGCAAGAAGGGGTTGTTAGATTTTGTTGGAATCCGCGTTTGCGATGCTTCTACACCACGCCCCACCCAGTGTCCCGCCCGAGCAGCTCGCCAGTGGATCCCGCCAAGTGTCCCGCCAGAGTAGCTCGCCAGTGGATCCCGCCGAGTATCCCACCAGACCAGCCAGTGGATCCCGCCGAGTTTCCCGCTAAGTATCTCAGAATAGCTCGCCAGTTTGCCGGTGGATCCTGCCGCGTATCCGGCCAGTATCGAGCCGGAGCGGCTGGCCAGTATTCGCCAGTGGATCCCGCCAGTATCCCGCCAGAGCTGCTCGCCAGTCTGGTTCCGCCCGGCGCACAGTTGAGTTTACGTTTCATGTTGGCGCCTTCGTGTTTTGAGAACACCCTGAGGCTCGGAAAGGGTGATGCTTTTGAGTTGCTTTGGGCTGTGAATAAGCAACTTCGTTTAATCCCCCGTCGGGTTTCTTTTTGGAAGGGGCTTGGCTTTTGTTAACGGAACCGATGTTTGAGTTCTCGAGATCGGCTCGCAGACAAGTGGAGTTTGACACACAGACAGGTGGATAAGGCTCTCAACGCAAAGCTTGTTGAGCAGCCATAGGCCCCAAGCCAACCGTGTTCACGGTCGTAAGCTCGTGAGTGCGGAGGGTGGGGATTGCTCGAAGCGGAGTATTTTGTAAATTCCCAAAAGCATCGCGAAGGGTTCTTCCGCGCGGAGCTCTCGGACCAACTTGCAGAGAGTCGCTTGCGCAGAGTCAAACACATAGAGCCAAGCGCGTGGAGCCAAGTGCATAGAGCCGAGTGCATAGAGCCAAGTACGTAGAGCCGAGTGCGCAGAGCCGAGTGCATAGAGCCGAGTGCATAGAGCCAAGCGCATAGAGCCAAGCGCATAGAGCCAAGTGCATAGAGCCGAGTGCACAGAGCCGAGTGCATAGAGCCGAGTGCATAGAGCCAAGCGCGTAGAGCCAAGTGCATAGAGCCAAGTGCGTAGAGCCGAGTGCACAGAGCCGAGTGCATAGAGCCCAGCGCATAGAGCCGAGTGCACAGAGCCGAGTGCATAGAGCCAAGCGCATAGAGCCGAGTGCGCAGAGCCGAGTGCATAGAGCCGAGTGCACAGAGCCGAGTGCATAGAGCCGAGCGCACAGAGCCGAGTGCATAGAGCCGAGTGCATAGAGCCAAGCGCATAGATCATAGAGCCGAGTGCACAGAGCCGAGTGCATAGTGCCGAGCGCATAGAGCCAAGCGCATAGAGCCGAGTGCACAGAGCCGAGCGCATAGAGCCGAGTGCATAGAGCCAAGCGCATAGAGCCGAGTGCACAGAGCCGAGTGCATAGAGCCGAGTGCATAGAGCCAAGCGCATAGAGCCGAGTGCACAGAGCCGAGTGCATAGACCCGAGTGCATAGAGCCAAGCGCATAGAGCCGAGTGCGCAGAGCCGAGTGCATAGCATAGAGCCGAGTGCATAGGAGCCGAGTGCGCAGAGCCGAGTGCATAGCATAGAGCCGAGTGCATAGAGCCAAGTGCATAGAGCCGAGCGCACAGAGCCGAGTCTTAGAGCCAAGTGCATAGAGCCGAGTGCACAGAGCCGAGTGCACAGAGCCGAGTGCATAGAGCCGAGTGCATAGAGCCAAGCGCATAGAGCCAAGTGCACAGAGCCGAGTGCAATAGAGCCGAGTGCATAGAGCCAAGCGCATAGAGCCGAGTGCACAGAGCCGAGTGCATAGAGCCGAGTGCATAGAGCCAAGCGCATAGAGCCGAGTGCACAGAGCCGAGTGCATAGAGCCGAGTGCATAGAGCCAAGCGCATAGAGCCGAGTGCACAGGGCCGAGTGCATAGAGCCGAGTGCATAGAGCCAAGCGCATAGAGCCAAGCGCACAGAGCCGAGTGCATAGCATAGAGCCGAGTGCATAGATCCAAGCGCATAGGGCCGAGTGCACAGAGCCGAGTGCATAGAGCCGAGTGCATAGAGCCAAGCGCATAGAGCCGAGTGCGCAGAGCCGAGTGCATAGAGCCGAGTGCATAGAGCCAAGCGCATAGAGCCGAGTGCACAGAGCCGAGTGCATAGAGCCGAGTGCATAGAGCTAAGAGCATAGAGCCGAGTGCACAGAGCCGAGTGCATAGAGCCGAGTGCATAAACCCAAGCGCATAGAGCCGAGTGCACAGAGCAGCGCATAGAGCCGAGTGCATAGAGCCAAGCGCATAGAGCCGAGTGCACAGAGCCGAGTGCATAGAGCCGAGTGCATAGAGCCGAGTGCACGGAGCCGAGTGCATAGAGCCGAGTGCATAGAGCCAGGCGCATAGAGCCGAGTGCACAGAGCCGAGTGCATAGAGCCGAGTGCATAGAGCCAAGTGCAGAGAGCCGAGTGCACAGAGCCAAGCGCATAGAGCCGAGCGCACAGAGCCGAGTGCATAGAGCCAAGCGCATAGAGCCGAGTGCACAGAGCCGAGTGCACAGAGCCGAGTGCATAGAGCCGAGCGCATAGAGCCAAGCGCATAGAGCCGAGTGCACAGAGCCGAGCGCATAGAGCCGAGTGCATAGAGCCAAGCGCGTAGAGCCGAGTGCACAGAGCCGAGTGCACAGAGCCGAGTGCACAGAGCCAAGCGCATAGCGCCGAGTGCATAGAGCCGAGTGCATAGAGCCCAGTGCATAGAGCCAAGCGCATAGAGCCGAGTGCACAGAGCCGAGTGCATAGAGCCGAGTGCATAGAGCCAAGCGCATAGAGCCGAGTGCACAGAGACGAGTGCAGAGAGCCGAGTGCATAGAGCCAAGCGCATAGAGCCGAGTGCACAGAGCCGAGTGCATAGAGCCGAGTGCATAGAGCCAAGCGCATAGGGCCGAGTGCGCAGAGCCGAGTGCATAGAGCCGAGTGCATAGAGCCAAGCGCATAGAGCCGAGTGCATAGAGCCAAGCGCATAGAGCTGAGTGCACAGAGCCGAGTGCATAGAGCCGAGTGCATAGAGCCAAGCGCATAGAGCCGAGTGCACAGAGCCGAGTGCATAGAGCCGAGTGCGTAGAGCCAAGCGCATAGAGACGAGTGCACAGAGCCGAGTGCATAGAGCCAAGCGCATAGAGCCGAGTGCATAGAGCCAAGCGCATAGAGCCGAGTGCACAGAGCCGAGCGCATAGAGCCGAGTGCATAGAGCCAAGCGCATAGAGCCGAGTGCACAGAGCCGAGTGCATAGAGCCGAGTGCATAGAGCCAAGCGCACAGAGCCGAGTGCATAGAGCCGAGTGCATAGAGCCAAGCGCATAGAGCCGAGTGCACACAGCCGAGTGCATAGAGCCGAGTGCATAGAGCCAAGCGCATAGAGCCGAGTGCATAGAGCCGAGTGCATAGAGCCAAGCGCACAGAGCCGAGTGCATAGAGCCGAGCGCACAGAGCCGAGTGCATAGAGCCGAGTGCATAGAGCCGAGCGCATAGAGCCGAGTGCATAGAGCCGAGTGCATAGGGCCAAGCGCATAGAGCCGAGTGCACAGAGAGCCGAGTGCACAGAGCCGAGTGCATGGAGCCAAGCGCATAGAGCCAAGCGCGTAGAGCCGAGTGCATAGAGCCGAGTGCATAGAGCCAAGCGCATAGAGCCGAGTGCACAGAGCCGAGTGCATAGGGCGTGGTCGAGGTGCCAAAACTCGAGTTTTTTTGGCGTTTTTTGCGGTGCCCGCGCGGCCGTCTGCGGGGATCGGCGTGTCGAAGCGCTCTCGCTGTGGCGCCGTGCGAAATTGCCTTTTGAGGTTTGCGCGCCTGCTTTCGCAACCCCGCGGTCGCGGGTTCGATTCCCCCCTGATCCGCGGCTGCTCCAGCTAAAAATTTTTCGCAACTTTTAAGTATGAAAGTTGTGCGCGAAGTCTGGCAACTTTCCAGTACCAAAGTAGCACGCGACGTAAGCTGTCGCAGCTCCGGCTGGAAAATCGCAACTTCTAGGTGCGAAAGCAGTACGCGAATACGCTGCTCCGGCTGGAATATCGCAACTTTTGAGTGCCGAAGTAGCACGCGAAGTACACCTTAGAGCTCCCGGCTCGCTCCGCCGACATTGTCCTCTCTCTTTTCTCCTTCTTCATCTCTCCCTTGTCTCCCTTGTCTGTTCTGTTGTCCTCTCTCTCTCTCTCTTTCTCTTTCTCTCTCTCCCCCTATCTCTCTCTCTCTC